AGAGGGTTTGGGGATGCTCAATAGCAAAGGTCCTTGTGGAGATTATATTTGTTTTAAAAGCTAGGATTATTACCAAACCCGTAACACCATACTAGTACCTGATGCAGTGGGGGCCTATTTTTTGGGGGGCTCTGAAAGTTAACTGTTATGGGAGGTTCTTCGCAACCAGAAAACCTCTCCCATAGATACTTTAATACATTTTCATTTTTTTTTAATTATTGTTTTTTTTATTATTATTTTTTTTAAAAAACTTTCTTATCAACAGACCCAAAAATTTTAAGAAATTGGCCTAAGGTTTTTTGGGGGGCCCCCCGGGTTAGGGCCCTAAAACTTAAGCTTTATTTTTTTTTTAAGCCCTTTTCTTTTTTTTTATTTAAATTGTCTAATCATGTGTATCTTACATATTTGTTACCAAAGTGTCACTTACTATTGTTTTAAATTTGTTTTTTTTTTCCCCTTTGTTCCCCAAATTTTTTTTTTTTTTTAAAATTTTCCACGTTGTCCTTTTTTGTTTACAAGTGTATCTTAATATTGTTACACATTTTTTTATCTTAAATTAAATTTTTTTTAAAAGTGTCATCTTACATTTTGTCTAACCGTTCATCCTACAAACCGTCACACAGTTATTTTTACTGTCTAAACTGGCCTTTTTACTGGTCCAAATTTTTTCCCAAAACGTCACACCTTTATCCCCTTTTTTTTTAAAAATTTTTTGGTCTCAGATTCTCCCCCTTTTCAACAGTCATCCAATCTGGTTACTCTGTGTCCCTATTGGTTCATCGTGCCCCTTGGGTCATTGGTAAAAGTTTTTTTGGTCCTTTTGTCCGGCCCTTAAAACTGGTCAAATTTTGGTTTTAATTTGGACAATCAGTGAATCCCTGGAAAAAGGTCACTAAACCCGGTTTAAATTTTTTCCCTTTAAGGGGGAAAAGGCCCCCCGGCCCCAAAAATTAAAGGTTTTGGGGGATTTTGGATTTTGGATTTTTTGGCCCCATTTTTTTAAAAGGAAATTGATTTTGGTTTAAGGTTTTTTGGGTTTTTTTTTTAAGGCCCTTTTTAAATGGTTAAGTGTCATTCCCCGGAAAATGCCCCTGGTCCTAGTGCTTTTGGTTTTTTTTAAAAAGGTTCCCGGGGATTAAAGGTTTTGGGGGGGGGGAAATTTAAAATTGGTTAGTTTTAAAGGTTTTGCCCCCAAGGTTTAATAGGTTTTCAAGGTCCTATGTGAAATTTTTGGAAATTTTTTTTCGGCCCCAAGGTTTTAAATTGGTTAAATTTTTTTGGGGGGGGGGTTACCGGTTTTTTGGCTTAAAGGCCCTTTTTTTTTCTTTTTTTGGTAAAGGGGGGGGTTCCCTTTCCCCCGGTTTTTCATTAAACTGGTCCCAGGTTTTAAAATTTTGGGTTCAATTTGGGTTTTTGGCTTTTTTGATTAAAAACTTCACACAGCCCCTTTTTTTGGCACTTTTGGGTTTTTAAAATTTTTTTTTTCCCTACATAGGTCTACATCATGTCATCCTACTACTGGTCTACTATGTATCTACATACTGGTCTACATCATTTTCACCCTAATACTGGTTACATCATGTGTACCCTACATATGGTCTACTCATGTGTCATCCTACATACGGGTCTACATCATGTCATCTTCTACGGGTCTACATCATGTCATCTCATATGGTCTACATCTGTGTCACCCTACATATTCTAATCATGGTCATCTTAATATTCTACTCATTTTCATTTCTAATGGTTTTTTTTTTACATAGGGTCAATTTTTCCTACATATGGTCTACATCATGTGTCATCCTACTTGGTCTACATCATGTGTACTTCAAGGGCTACATCATTGTCATCCAAATTTACTGGTCTACATCATTTTCACCCTACTTGGTTACTCAGTGTCTCTACATCTGGTCTATTCAGTGTCATCCTACATATTTCTAAAATATGTCATCTACATACTGGTTCATCTGTGTCACCTAATACTGGTCTACATATGTCACCCTACTACGGTTACTCATGTCATCCTACATATGGTTACATCATGTGTCACCCTACTTACGGGTTACATATGTCTCCTACTACTGGTCTACATCATGTGTCACCCTACTACTGGTCTCATCATGTCACCCTAAAAATGGTCTACATATGTCATTAATACGGGTCTAATCTGTGTCACTACTACTGGTCTCTCTGTTTCAACCTCATACTGGTCTCCCATATGTTTTACATAGGGGTCTAATATGTTCTCCTACATATGGTCTCTCATGTCATCCTCTAGGGTCTACAATGTCATCCAAATTATGGTCTAATCTTACCCTCATATGGTCTACTTTTTGTCACCCTACATACTGGTCTAATCATGTGTCATCCTACATCTTTAAATGGTCATTAAAATTGGTCTAATCATGTCATCCTACTTTTACTGGTTACATCCTTGTAATCCTTATGGTTCATGGTCCCCACTCGGGTCAAATCTGTATCCTAATAGGGTTACTCATGTGTATCCTCTTATGGTTACTCATGTGTCATCCAAATACGGGTCTACATCAGTGTCACCCTACAGGCCATTGATGATGATCTTGTTTGTCCTTTTAAGTTGGGGTCTTGGTAAGCTGGATTTATAAGTCTAGTGAAATATATTTCATTAAATTTTTTTCTACAATTATTAATATGAAAAAATAGAGCAAAATATGTAACGTTAAAACCAAACAAATACTGTCATATTTAATGGCAGTTAAAAAATACGCACTTTTGGTAAAAAGTGCCATTTATTCCCTACATGACAACAAATACGCACAAAAATCATATATTAAAATTGACTGAGTACTAAAAAACGAGAGGATATAAAAATTTCATGCAAGCGGTAACATGGAGCAGTAGACGGTCATGCGAGGGAAAAAGCAGTGCTGCAGCGAGATAGGTAAAAAATAGGCAGGTTATCTGCAGTCAAAGCTGGGAGGAGTGAGGCCCACCCGGTGCCGTCAGTTGATGATTTAACCAACTGCAAACCTGGGTTCCAACTGCACATTGGTGTTTTTCTTGTTGGTTTACTCGTGGGTTAAGTGGGAGGATTTTGGATATCAGGGTCAGAGTTCACCGCCGCTTAAACTTCCACGAAAAGTTTTTCAAAATTTATTGTGTACATCATTTCCCAAAAAATTTTTAAAACCCTTTAAAAGGGTTTGGGCACCTGTGATCTGTGACGACAATGGTTTCCATGTAGTGTTGGTGCAAAAAGTAGTATCTAACAATGACTTGACCTACAATTAAAAAAAAAAAAGGTTTTGTGTACAGTTAAGACGGGCTAAAACGACCAACAGATTTTTTTTATGTGGGTGATTTTATGATTTGTCAGACTCGATGACTAAGGGAGTGCAAAAGTATTTTAAACATTTCTTTGTACGCTGTCGTTTTTGAGAAATGATTAAGGGTTTTGACGGTTGTGCCGTATGGCCCTGAAGTTTACTGGGGTGGGGGTGTTGTGGACAAGAATCTGCCGCCATATACACAAGCTGTAGTCAAGTGACAAATGTGAGAACTGAATCAGCATTTTGTGCTCCAAGTTTCTTAGATGAAAACGTTCTCTTCATAGCATCAGTTATAAATGTACTTGAAACCTTATTCTGAGATTGTTGGTAAGTAACCAAGCTTGATTAAAAGTGAATAAATTAAAAAATGTGCCATGCGTAATCTGGATATAGATCCATGCAGCTAGCTACATGCCCAGTGCACATGCGTTGGGACTGTGACCCTAGACTCATGTTTAACTGGCACTCTAAAGGCCGCTATTTCGTTCGAGTGGCACTGATAAATCAGTTAGAGGCGTGTAAACTTCAGTCCTCCGTCCGAGCCAGCCAGACCCCGCAGTCTCCCCGTCATCACGGCCCAGAGCGAGCTGTGGGCGGGGAGTTAGCGAGAGGAGGGTGGTGGGGGCGGCAGCAGGGGTTCAACAGCATTGCTTGGAGGATGCTGCAGAAGGCGACCTGCATCGTCAAGTAGCAGGTTGATGGAGGAGGGGGGGGGGGAGTGGAGAGGGCATGCGCCGTGCGGCACCTGGTAGGACATGGCCAGGCACCACTTACCCTCATCCCCTGCATGCGGGACATGGCCCTCAAGGGTCGTAGGGCGCGCAGCGTTCTCATCGTTTTGAACGCCTGAATTTTGCTTGCTCCAGCCAGGGTTGCCACAAGGTTAATCAAGGACACCTGGAAATCAGAGCCCACAAGAGTTACACATAGAAAATAGAGAGACAGGAAGGTGGGGTTTGACGCTCACTACAGAAGATATATAAAACACCGGGAAGCACTCCAGCGGTCAACACCGTACACTACAGGGAAAGATATTAGTTAGACAGTCCCACCACAACCCGAGTCTTGCTGGCCAAACTCTCCACAACCTAAGTTTGTGTAGGAGGAGAGAAAAGGAGGAATGTGAAAGATAACTGTAATTGGAGAGGAACTGTGAAAGGGCGCAGACGTTATGGTGATGCTGGTAAGGGAGAATTGTTATATTTACGAGGAAGCGCTAAATCCACAAGAGGTCATTCAGTACCTGAGGAATGGGAGTTAATCGGTTTGAACCAAGGAAAGGGGAAGGCAGATTTAATTCCTTGCTTCAAGAGCCCCCTCACCATTCACCTTCGGGGCTGGTGAGGCGGTGAAGCCACTAGGAAAATGTTACGAGGGACAGTTAAAATTATCAAGAAAAAAAAATAAACATATGGCATTGTTGTATCATAATCTTTGCAGACTGACCATCTCTCTGATAAAGACATTATTAACATCTAAAGGTCAGAGATGTGTAAGTTTGAGATTCTTGAAAGAATATAGGGAGGCTAACGAAGGACCATTGCTGAAGAATAAGACTGGGGAGAAGGATGAAGGATTTATAAAATACTGGGAAAAAATGATTATGAAAGGATTAGGTAGGTGAGAAGAATGAATAATGGAAATGTAAGAAAAGACTGGATACGAGAAAGCGGGAAGGAGGGGAAAGGGGCCAACAGACAGAAGGGTTGTGGCGGCGGCGGCGAACACACTCAACGAACACTGATGGTGGACACCAAGGCGGCTTTGCCCATGCGGCCGGTCATCACCAAGACCCACTGTGACGGTGAGGTGGGTGATGTCGACGAGCATGGGCAGGAGGGGTGGGTCTACCCACGTTCAGCACCACTACCAGGGGGTCCAGTTCACCGCCCCCCACACATACACACACTCACTACTTACTCTCATGCCCTCCCAGCGCGACACTGCGCGCAGGGGCCGCAGCGCGCGCAACGTTCTCATCGATCTGAACGCTGGAATGTCGTCAGCTCCGGCCCAAATAGCAGCCAAGTTTATCAGTGACACCTACAAGACCAAGTGTGTTACAGGGAGTGACGATGCCCACTCTCACACGCCCACATATGCCAACACTCCTACACACTGTCTATATATATGCAGATAATGCATTCTAACTCCTATACACTCAATACAACCACAACCTGGCTCCTACACACTCAATACAATCACATCCTGGCTCCTACACACTATACAACCACATCCTAGCTCCTATACACTCAATACGACCACATCCTAGCTCCTATAGACTCGATACAACCACATCCTAGCTCCTATAGACTCAATACAACCACATCCTAGCTCCTATACACTCAATACAACCACATCCTAGCTCCTATAGACTCAATACAACCACATCCTAGCTCCTATACACTCAATACAACCACATCCTGGATGCTACACACTCAACACAATCATATTCTGCCGGGCTCTTGCACCCTCACCAAAGCCACTTGATTTTCACATATTCACTATAACCACATCCCGCTGCCCATACACAACCACATTCCTGGCCACCACACACAACCACATGCTGGCTACTACACACTCATTATAACCACTAATCACTGTAACTCAAATCAGAGAGTTCACAAGTAACCCACACTTCGTAAAGGAACCTTCAGAGGTATCGGCTCATCCTCAGCCATTACTCAATCGAAGAACTGAGCCACAACGGACGACTTCGTAATTTTGACCCACATGGGTTTAGCGCTTAGCCTGAATTATTTATTCCTCTCCGAACTGTGGCTAACTTGAAGATGGTTCCAGAAACTTTAATCACGATAAAACTGACAAATGCGATATGATTAGATTCTTAAAGTAACGTCAGGATACATTAACCTGACTAGTTAAAAGTAGGATGAAAAGTTAAAAAACCCACCAATATTGAAAGATACATCAACAGGTGAAATATTATGAATTTAGGTTCCATTCAGAACCCCCCCCCCCCCCGCCTCTGAAGATTGAGACACTTATACAACATATGGGAATCTTTATTAATAAAGATTCCCATTATTACATAAGTTTCTCAATCTTCAACTTGTCGGTTTTCATAAACCATTAATCACCCTCTTCCCTCTGTTGTAATATGCACATCCCTTTTACCTATTTTAATAACTCCAAGTAACTTTTTCCAACTTTCATACACATTATCCTTCAAAACACAAACTGCTGCCGGGTTGAGCACGTGAATAAAATATAACATGTGTCGTTTACACTCGTAGAGAAATGAATAAAATTTTGCCTTAAAAAAGATAAGCGTATTTACAATGAATTGGAAGGATGGTGATAGTATTAACTTTCATGGTTAAAAATAAGTAAGTTATTGAAGAGAAGTTCCATCTGGTGCCTGACACCAAGTCTATGGACGCTCTGAAACTGTTAAATTAATGAATAAGGCCAGAGAGAGAGAGAGAGAGAGAGAAGAGAGAGAGAGAGAGAATGGGATTATCTCGTAGGAACAAGAGGCAACTGCGTTATTAATTATAGACGTATTTATGCTAGAACTATAGGAAATACGTGAATACACACAAACCTACAAAGAAATACACTCACCATGACAATGAGAAAGTCGAGCCAGCACCAGGCGTTAGTAAAGTACTTGGCGAAGCCCAGAGCCACCCACTTGATCAACATCTCAATAAAGAAGATAACGGTGAAGATCCTATCCATGTAGTAGAGCACGTCCTGGAGGATGGGGCGTCCCTTGAGGTAGACGTCCTCCAGGGCCAAGGCCATTGATGACAGCAAGATCATGGTGATGACCGCCGTCTCGAAGTACTTGTTCTCGATCAGTTGGTAGGTTTTCAAGCGGAGGTGTCCCCACCCTTGCCAGAACGGAGACTCGGGGTCACCCTGTACAGTCACCAACAACAAGTATTATTATTATTGCTACTGATTTTCATTACTTAATATAATATTTATTAATACTATTATATTTTTTATTATTATTAATAATAATAATTATTATTATTATTACTGTATTCTTAGATTAGATTTTGCCACCAAAGTGGCTAGTTTACTGTGCACCCCACATCCAGCCTGTGGACGGTAGCGCAAGAGCAAATGGATACACAAAAGGCCTAGTAACTAGGCCTTTTGTGTATCCATATGTTCTTGCTTTTGTGTATCCATATCCATAGGTTAACAGGAGTATATCTACATTTATATTTACAGTTAAGACTTACCTGTTACAAGCAAATTTAGGAGATTCGCTTAAAATGTCTGGTATCTTATTTTCACAAATATTATAACATATCACAGGTTATTAAACTGTCTATCTCTGTATTCCTCAATAAATGGACAATTATGCACATAGTGTTCAAGATAGTGACCATAGCACTGGCCACATACTTCGCATATAGTTTGATCATCGTGCGTGTGTCTTATAAACTGCCAGAAGTGCTTGTAATCAAGCCTAAGTCTGGCTACTACAACATCAGTCAATCTGTTCGCACTGTAAATTGCTCCATAAAAGTACTTATCTAGGTTAATGTTATCATGAGTGACAGATCTACTCAGGCTTCTAACTGCATTCCTATAATATTCAGTTTCATTATTTACTTCTTTCTTAACATTATTCTTAATGCTAAACACAGATACACTAAAGTTATATTTTTCATTTTCCTTCATGGTCCTTTTCTGGCTAATTTATAAACTTTATCATGAAGGAGTAATCCAATGTGTAATGGGATCCATAACAATTGTACATTAATTCCCTTTTCTAGGATTTCTTTTTTTTTGGAGTATCTATGGCTGGCTTCTTCAATTAATATATTGTTGGTCATTATGTGAGTCAAGATTCTGCAGTGATGACACAGAATCAGTAATAATCACAGAGTCAAGTTCGGTGTCATAAGGATGGCAAACAATTCAGTTTGCAGTGTAGACGCCCAGTTGCTAATTCTTATTCCTGATTCAACATGGTTCCTATCGTTATTGTCTAGGAAGGTGGTAACGAGCACATGCAGCCCTGCCAGTAGACTCCTGCTTAGATCCATCAGTGTAGTATATAACTTGTGATAAATTATTACTAACAGTTAAGCGGTAAATTACTTCTCGAGCAGTTGTCTTCACAAGTGATTTAAGGAAGAGATATCAGTGATGATCTTCTTGGGAGGAACTTGCAGGTATGTGATATTAAATGAACACATCTTCCATGGAGGGGTGAAATGTTCTTGTTGTCTATAGTGATACAGTTCATGCTTTCACAACCCATTTAGATCTAAGTGTATTTACTTCTAGACATTTAGTAAGATTCATAGTGACAGTGTCTGGTTCATTTCTTAACATTCTAATACTGAATACAGTGTTAATATCAATAATCCTATCACTGATACTATGAATACCAAGCTCCTTCCTGACTCACAAACTTGTAATAGCAAGTTTGCAGATTTAGGGTAGTCGAGAATAATTCTGAGGGCTTTATTTTGCATTAGTTTCAAGGGCCAGAGAGATTTTTCCTTTGTTAATATTAATTAATATTAGCACCATAGTTGGGGCCCCAGCCAACAACATATCTATTATTATTATTATAATTATTATAATAATCAAAAAGAAGCAACATATCTAAGAGAATTTAGAATATCTTTGCATTTCTTATTTAGTTGTGGTATGATGGATATACTGAAGGGTACGTAAGGTACAAGACAACTGTAAGACTGAACGTAAGCTTCAAGATATCTCTAAGACTGAACGTAAGCTTCAAGATATCTCTAAGACTGAACGTAAGCTACAAGATATCTCTAAGACTGAACGTAAGCTTCAAGATATCTCTAAGACTGAACGTAAGCTTCAAGATATCTCTAAGACTGAACGTAAGCTACAAGATATCTCTAAGACTGAACGTAAGCTTCAAGATATCTCTAAGACTGAACGTAAGCTACAAGATATCTCTAAGACTGAACGTAAGCTTCAAGATATCTCTAAGACTGAACGTAAGCTACAAGATATCTCTAAGACTGAACGTAAGCTTCAAGATATCTCTAAGACTGAACGTAAGCTTCAAGATATCTCTAAGACTGAACGTAAGCTTCAAGATATCTCTAAGACTGAACGTAAGCTACAAGATATCTCTAAGACTGAACGTAAGCTTCAAGATATCTCTAAGACTGAACGTAAGCTTCAAGATATCTCTAAGACTGAACGTAAGCTTCAAGATATCTCTAAGACTGAACGTAAGCTTCAAGATATCTCTAAGACTGAACGTAAGCTTCAAGATATGCGTAAGATTCAACGTAGATGATTTTTCTATCCGGCAAACAGATGTGTGGTGGATGTCATTTGACTGTCAATATCTTTGAGACGAAGACATAACCAGGCCTAGTCGATCATAAATTACTTAAACCTATTCTTTGCATAGGTCTAAACTCCTAGTTTAACCCCCCACCCGTTCCGTGTCTTTTTCCTTAGTCAAACATCGCCTGGATAAACTGGACGTAATTAGGTCTGATCCGAGGAAGAGGAGGGTTAGCTCCAATTCCCCTGATCAAGAGCCCTTCATCAGTATCTTCACCAGCTAATTCCTAAAGATGCTCCAGATAAGGGGAGGTGCCTTGATGCCGGTGGGTGGGCTCTTGATCCAAGAAACTGGATCTAATCCTTCCCTTCCTCGGATCTAACCTGATTGCCTCGCACTGCCCAGTCGCTGTACAGCCCTTACGGGTTTAGTACTTCTTCAGGACCTTGGTAAAACTATCCTGGGTGAAATGTCGTTCTGACAACACTTGGCGAAACTAATCAGGACGAAACATATTTTTGATCAAAACAATTTAGGGCGACATGTCGCATAGTAAAAGTGATAAATGAGACACTCGTGTAACATACGTGTATATTTATTCTAAAAACATTTTACCCAATCAGTGGCCTCTTCAGTCCAATGCAGAGAAAGGTGACAGCTGAGAAGCTGTTTGAGGTAATCAGTCCCTGAGGGACCGATTACTTCAAACTCCTCCTCCTCACCTTTCACTGTATTAGACTGAAGAAGCCACTGGCTGGCGAAAAGTTCCCGCAACAAAGATTCCCAAATGTTACCCAAGTGTCTCCAACCTCACATCCAAGAGTTGTACATGAATGTGTTGTACTGATTAATTATTATAATCAAAAAGAAGCGCTAAACCACAAGGGCTATACAGCTGTACTGATTAAGAATAATTCGGGGGGAGAGATACTGACCGCACACCACGGGCACTTGACGTAACACGCTTCCTTGAAGCAGTCTGAAGGGTAATCTAGAATGACATCGCTGCCTGTGTCCATCACGGGGCCACCAGGCTCTTGATCCTCATCTTCGATGACCTCCTCGTCTCCGCTGGAACCCTGGAAATCTGCAAGAAAAGAAGCTACCTTGACTTCGGGCTGGAGAGTAAGGGAGGGTCTGGGCGTGGTGAGACTACGTATTAAGAACCGAAGATTGAGAGATATACTATAAAATGGCGATACGATGGAAAACAGACAGAAGTGAAGGGTAATGAGATCCTTTACGAGACCCTTCAGTGACTTGATAAAGACCACTGCGCAGAGCGAAACGTTGTCAATAAAGGACCTCATTACACTGCATCTGTGTGTGTGTTTGGAATACCTGAGGATGGAGGCAGGAAGGGTGAAAGGTGACCTTAAGATTGTATATAGAAGAGACGCACGTGGCATGACAGGCCTTCACTGGGGCAACATGTCTAAAGAGCGAAACGTTGTCCTGAATAAAGGATTGTTTTGCTACGTGTGTCTTTGTTTTCATTTGTGTGGGCAGTACGCTCTTGAAATCAAGCAGAAGGCGTTTGGTGGTGTGGCTTTGGTGGCAGTCTGCCCAGATGTTGCACTCACATGAACTATATCACATAAGGAAGCTGTAAGAAAAACATCTGACGTGCAACAACAGCAACAGCAGCAGCAGCAGCAGCAGCAGCAGCAGCAGCAGCAGCAGCAGCAGCAGTAGCAGCAGTAGCAGCAACAGCAGATTCAACTCAGTAGGTGGACCGAGAATTAACGACACAAAGAGGTTCTTATACAAAGGGTTCTTAACCTAAGGAAATAAAGCACCTCTCGGTACTCTGGCACAGTATGGCCCCTACAAGTTTAACGCTTCCCAATGAATACAATAACGAAATTCATGATTGGTGAAAATCAGGAATTTGAAAGGCTCTCCAAACCAATATTTTTCAACCCAAGTGACAAACTTTTCCTACATCTGGAATTATTATACTAGTGACCCATAAAAAAATGATTCTCGATTGGATGCGCAGCTTCACTATAGGGTAGTGACTAGTTGAGGAGTCCTGCATCGCGTGATCTACAGAGTGCTCTGCAACTAAGGCTTATATAACAAAAGCACTGCTCTTTAAGGCAAAATAGTCCTAAAATAGGCAAGGAGGGTCTAAATTAGGCAAAGTAAGTCTAAAGTAGAGAAAGTAGGTCTAAGCTGTAAAGCAACCTCAAGCGACAATTGTCTGACAGCCGCATATATATATATATATATATATATATATATATATATATATATATATATATATATATATATATATATATATATATATTTATATATATTATATATATATATAAAATTATATATATTATATATATATAAATATATATATATATATAATATATATATATATATATATATATATATATTTATATATATATATATATATATATATAATATATAAATATATATATATATATATATATTATATATTTATATATATATATATATATATATATATATATATATTATAAATATATATTATTAATATATATATATATATATATATACATATATATTACATGACCTCGACTGATTTAACCCTGAATTGAATTACTAAGACCTGACCTCGACTACTGTGACCTGGAGAAAATGATTCTTGAGGGTCATTGTTCTTGGCTCTGCAACTTTATTTTTAAACGTCTGAGCAGACTGACAATGTGAGAGTTGTAGGGGACTGAGTGAGAGTTGTAGGGGACTGAGTGAGAGTTGTAGGGGACTGAGTGAGAGTTGTAGGGGACTGAGTGAGAGTTGTAGGAGACTGAGTGAGAGTTGTAGGGGACTGAGTGAGAGTTGTAGGGGACTGAGTGAGAGTTGTAGGGGACTGAGTGAGAGTTGTAGGGGACTGAGTGAGAGTTGTAGGGGACTGAGTGAGAGTTGTAGGGGACTGAGTGGAGTTTGTAGGGACTGAGTGAGAGTTGTAGGGGACTGAGTGAGAGTTGTAGGGGACTGAGTGTGAGTTGTAGAGGACTGAGTGAGAGTTGTAGGGGACTGAGTGAGAGTTGTAGGGGACTGAGTGAGAGTTGTAGGGGACTGAGTGAGAGTTGTAGGGGACTGAGTGAGAGTTGTAGGGGATTGAGTGAGAGTTGTAGGGGACTGAGTGAGAGTTGTAGGGGACTGAGTGAGAGTTGTAGGGGATTGAGTGAGAGTTGTAGGGGATTGAGTGAGAGTTGTAGGGGATTGAGTGAGAGTTGTAGGGACTGAGTGAGAGTTGTAGGGGATTGAGTGAGAGTTGTAGGGGACTGAGTGAGAGTTGTAGGGGACTGAGTGAGAGTTGTAGGGGATTGAGTGAGAGTTGTAAGGGATTGAGTGAGAGTTGTAGGGGACTGAGTGAGAGTTGTAGGGGACTGAGTGAGAGTTGTAGGGGACTGAGTGAGAGTTGTAGGGGATTGAGTGAGAGTTGTAGGGGACTGAGTGAGAGTTGTAGGGACTGAGTGAGAGTTGTAGGGGATTGAGTGAGAGTTGTAGGGGATTGAGTGAGAGTTGTAGGGGATTGAGTGAGAGTTGTAGGGGACTGAGTGAGAGTTGTAGGGGACTGAGTGAGAGTTGTAGGGGACTGAGTGAGAGTTGTAGGGGACTGAGTGAGAGTTGTAGGGGACTAGTGAGAGTTGTAGGGGACTGAGTGAGAGTTGTAGGGGACTGAGTGAGAGCTGTAGGGACTGAGTGAGAGCTGTAGGGGACTGAGTGAGAGTTATAGGAAACTGAGTGAGAGTTGTAGGGGACTGAGTGAGAGTTGTAGGGGACTGAGTGAGAGTTGTAGGGGGCTGAGTGAGAGTTGTAGGGGACTGAGTGAGAGTTGTAGGGGGCTGAGAGAGAGTTGTAGGGGACTGAGTGAGAGTTGTAGGGGACTGAGTGAGAATCGTAGGGGACTGAGTGAGAGTTGTAGGGGATTGAGTGAGAGTTGTAGGGGACTGAGTGAGAGTTGTAGGAAACTGAGTGAGAGTTGTAGGGGAGTGAGTGAGAGTTGCAGGGAACTGAGTGAGAGTTGTAGGGGATTGAGTGAGAGTTGTAGGGGACTGAGTGAGAGTTGTAGGGGACTGAGTGAGAGTTGTAGTGGGATGAGTGAGAGTTGTAGGGGACAGAGTGAGAGTTGTAGGGGACAGAGTGAGTTGTAGGGGACTGAGTGAGAGTTGTAGGGGATTGAGTGAGAGTTGTAGGGGACTGAGTGAGAGTTATAGGGGACTGAGTGAGAGTTGCAGGGGTCTAAGTGAGAGTTGTAGGGGATTGAGTGAGAGTTGTAGGGGACTGAGTGAGAGTTGTAGGAGATTGAGTGAGAGTTGCAGGGGTCTAAGTGAGAGTTGAAGGGGTCTAAGTGAGAGTTGAAGGGGTCTAAGTGAGAGTTGCAGGGGTCTAAGTGAGAGTTGCAGGGGTCTAAGTGAGAGTTGCAGGGGTGTAAGTGAGAGATGCAGGGGTGTAAGTGAGAGTTGCAGGGGTCTAAATGAGAGTTGCAGGGGTCTAAGTGAGAGTTGCAGGGATCTAAGTGAGAGTTGCAGGGGTCTAAGTGAGAGTTGCAGGGGTGTAAGTGAGAGTTGCAGGGTGTAGTGAGAGTTGCAGGGGTCTAAGTGAGAGTTGCAGGGGTCTAAGTGAGAGTTGAAGGGGTCTAAGTGAGAGTTGCAAGGGTCTAAGTGAGAGTTGCAGGGGTCTAAGTGAGAGTTGCAGGGGTGTAAGTGAGAGTTGCAGGGGTCTAAGTGACAGTTGTAGGGGTCTAAGTGAGAGTTGCAGGGGTCTAAGTAAGAGTTGTAGGGGACTGAGTGAGAGTTGCAGGGTGAGTGAGAGTTGCAGGGTGTAAGTGAGAGTTGAGGGACAAGTGAGAGTTGCAGGGTGTAAGTGAGAGTGCAGGGGTGTAAGTGAGAGTTGTAGGGGACTAAGTGAGAGTTCAGGGTCTAAGTGAAGTTGCAGGGTTAGTGGACTGTAGGGACTAAGTAAGTTGCAAGGGTCTAAGGAATTCAGGGGTGTAATGAGAGTTGTAGGACAAGTGAGAGTTGCAGGGTATAAGTGGAGTTGCAGTCTAGTGGAGTTGCATGTAAGTGAGATGTATGTAGCGAGAGTTGCAGGGTGTAAGTGAGAGTTGCAGGGTGTAAGTGAGAGTTGCAGGGTTAATGAGAGTTGCAGGGGTTAGTGAGAGTTCAGGGTCTAAGGAGAGTTGAGGGGCTAAGTAAGTCAGGGGTGTAAGTGAGAGTTCAGGGGTGTAAGTGAAGCAGGTGAAGTGAGAATCAGGGGTGAAGTGAATTAAGGTTAAATAGATTAGGGTTAATAAATTGCAGATTAAGTAGAGTTAGGTCTAGTAATTGCATTAAGTAGATTATTTAATGAGATTGAGTCTTAATAGATTGCATCTAATAGAGTTGAAGGTCTATAATTCAATTAATAGAGTTGATTAATAATTCAGGTGTAAGTAAGTGTAAAATGAGAGTTGCAAGGGTGTAAGTAGATTATGTAATAGAGTTGTAGGATAAGTAATTATTAATAGATTGCATGTAAGTGAGACTGAGGGACTAATGAATTGAAGTCTAGTGAGAGTTGCGGTGTAATGAGAGTTGAGGGGCTAGTGAGTTGCAGGTTATAATGAGATGCAGGGGTCAAGTGAGAGTTGCAGGGTGTAGTGAGAGTGCAGGGGTCTAAGTGAGAGTTGCAGGGGTGAAGTGAGAGTTGGGGGTGAAGTGAGAGTTGCAGGGGCTAAGTGAGAGTTGCAGGGTCTAGTGAGAGTTGCAGGGTCTAAGTGAGAGTTGAGGGGCTAAGTGAGAGTTGAGGGGTGAGGAGAGTGAGGGGTGAAGTGAAGTTGCAGGGGTCTAAGTGAAGTTGTAGGGACTGAGCGAGAGTTGCAGGGGTCTAAGTGAGAGTTGAGGGTCTAGTGAGAGTTGCAGGGGCTGAGTGAGAGTTGCAGGGGTCTAAGTGAGAGTTGTAGGGGACTGAGTGAGGTTGTAGGGACTGAGTGAGAGTTGCATGGGCTAGTGAGAGTTGTAGGGGATGAGTGAGATTGTAGGGACTGAGTGAGAGTTGTAGGGGTGTAGTGAGAGTTGTAGGGTGTATGTAGTGGGGGTAGGATTGTAGGGGATGAGTGAGAGC